TTTTGCCTGATCGTGCCGTTGGTGCCAAAAGTATCGAAACCCCAAACAAGGTGTGTTGTACACGTCCTCGTTGGTCAGCAACTGGCGAGCGACGTCCTCCGCCGGGGGCTGTAGCAGCGTCATGTGGCCCTTCGAAATCATCACCCACATGTCCCGCTGCGTCCATTGGCTTCCAGTCACCGTCTCCAACAACACGTCGCCCTTGTAGTCGACCCGCACGACGACGATGCGCATCTCCTCCAAAGCTGCCAAGGGGAACACGGCCAGAGCTCGGTAATCCTTGTCATGGTGTGGTTTGAGGATGTCATGGGCATACATTCTGAGTTCATGTTCGACGGGCGCCACCCTCGTCTCTGCGTGGCCCATCACCCCTTCGGCTTCCACCGCCAGTCTGGCCTGTTCCAGCCTGAAGTCCTGCGCCAACTTCTCCACCTCTTCCATTGTTGGAACTTTGCCCTCCTGGGTGATGAGCAAACCCGCTGCGAAGACCTTAGTCACGCACTGCCGCTTCTCCTTCTCCGGCTCGATGAGGCCCAGAAGCCCGGCAAGCTCTTCCGTCATGTGCACGACCTCGCCGTAGTCCCACATAGCCCAGGATGCATCATCAATCTGCACCAGTGCCTTCCCAGGTCCATCGTCGTCCCAACGTGTCTCTCCCACTCGACACCGAGCTTGATGTCCTGCCTTGGGCCCGCCACCATGGGTTTCGAGAAGGTCTGCTGCCTCTGCTGCCAGTTCGCCCAGACCATACTGCACCATCTCCTCCATCAACGCCTCGAAGCCTACCGCCGGGTCATTGGCGACTCTTGTGGCGGCCCAGGCATACAAATCATCCGAGGCCTCTTGCAACTTTCCCAACACGGGACCATCAGCCAAGGCCTGCGCCTTCCTCACCATCTCCTGCGCCTCGAAGGGGGCCGACGTGCCATCGCGCCCCGCGTGGGGCTTCGCTTCCCTCGGGACGTGGTCGAAGATGGAGTGATCTGGACCCGACACCAACTCGGCGAAGTCTTTTTCCTGGCTGGTGTAGTCGACCTGAACCATCTCCTCTGGCGCCTTCCAACTCACCCGGCCTCCCGCCTTTTCATGGACCTCTGGCTCCCCGGCACTCAGGTTTTCACCTTGTCCAGCTCTTCGACGATCCTTTCCATCCTGCACCTTTGCAGCTTTGTCCTTTGCCACACCCGCTCTGATGTCCTTCATCTTTTCCGCCGCCGACTCCTTTGTCTCCGCCTTCATCCTTCGGAGCCCCCCTCGACGAAGAAGTTGCAACTGGACGGCAGGGTCAAGAGCTTCGAAAGGGCCTTTGAGTGCCTCGTGAGCCCGTTGACAACCCGTCTGGGTGCAGCCCGTGTGGGTCAAATACCCCCAGCACAGGAGCTTGCCCTCCTTGTTGGTTGGTGCTCGGTCCTTCGACCTAGCCGTCTCCTCTGCAGTGAGCTTGGGTCCATGGAGCGTCTTTAAGGTGACCTTGTCCTCCCTCGGCCCACCATCACCCCCAGCAGGTTGCCCTTGTGCACGGCTCTTGCCGGAACCTTCCCAGGTCATTTTCCACAGCATTCTCTCCTGGCGCCTCTCGATCCGGGGCATGACCTCAGACATGAACCAACCCTCTGGTCGACGAAGGTCAAAGGTCTGTGGGAGCTCCAAAGGCGGCTTGCCGTCTTCATCGGGCATCAGGGCATAGAACTTCAGGTCCTGTAAGGTCATGGATTCTCTCCCAGCTTGCCTCTTGATCTTCCTCAGCTCCTCCTTGAGCTCTTCCAGGAAGCGCCAGTGAAGCTCTTCCCACACGTCGATGAGCACCTGGAGCGGCCACTTGTGAGGTGCACTGATGCGCCACTCACCCAGGAAGTTGATGGCATGGTCCCTCACTCCCTTCCATTCCATGCCGTACACGAGGGCCCAAATGTCGTTCTGTCTTTTCGCTCGGTTCAGCCAGTCCTCGTACCGAGTGGGTGCCGTGGGCCGCTGCTCATTGGTCTGCTTGCCCGTCCTGCTCTCGATGGCAAACTGATCCAGCTCCGCGTCCGTGCAGGGGATGAAGTCTGAGGCACTAAGGGCATACTTTTCCTGTGTACCACAGTAAGGCCCTGCAACTCCAATAGCCAAACGGGAGGTGACCTTTTGGCGGAAGCCAGCTGCCCTCAACTTTGTTGACGACCCTGCCTGGGCGGCCAGCAAGGCCTGGGCTAGGGCGGCACCGTACTCATTGGCCCCGACCTGCACGGTATACTGACCGCATGCACGCAGGAGAAAAACCAGTTCTTCTGAGGGTTTTCCGAGGGCTTTGATGGACCCTCCTACCCCGGCGGTTGACTCCTGTTGTGCCTTAACCAACGTGGCCAACTCGTTGGTCTGCTGCTGGATCGCTCGTGCGATGTCAGTCATCTCGGGGTTGGTGCCTCTACCATCCGGGCCAGTGCCTGCCTTGCGATCTGGGTCATAGATGCCAGGCGGTGGGATCACAGCAAGCTTCTTCTTGGGTGGGGTCTCCACGGTAACCGAACCCGGGCTCTGGGCCACTCGTCCTCCAGAAGCCGCACTGGTGGGTGTAGGTGCCGAGCTCTCCCGCTCTCTCTCGATGATACTCCAATCTGAGGGCGTGGATGGTGGTGCCCCTTCCTGAGCGGCTGCTTGCTTCCTCCACTTCGCCAAGAACTTGGTCAGGCCTTTGGTGCCCTTCCGCTGCTCTTCAGTAGCCTGCTCGTAGAGGAACTTGGTGAGGTCTCCCACTGTCAAGCCCGACTGAGCCGCCATCTGCTTTCGGATGTCCTCCTCGTTCAACTGCAGCTCCTTCCCATCGGCCAGCTGCTCCATGAACTCCTCCAGGTAGGTCATCTCTCCTCTCCGGTCCGGGGAGTTGATCATGCCCATCCTCGCAAGGGTGTGCTGCACTGACGACTTCGGAGTGTGGCCTGGGGACGCCACTCTCCTTCTCCTTGAAGCGGGCAGCGTTTCCTCCTTCTCGTCCCTGACTTCCCGCAAGATGGTCTCCACCTCCCCTGTGTCGTAGGAAACCTCCCGGACCCGTCCCCGCCGTCGTAGGCGATCTTCTCCATCTCTTTCCGGTCGATCTTCTCCTTCTTCTTCTTCCGGAGGTGGATCCCTTGCCCTCGACCTCGAACGAGAGGAGCGCCTCGATGGTGTCGGGTTGCTTGCCTCTTCATGAGTGCCACACACTCGCAACCCATGCTTGGAGAGGTTCCCCACCCGGTTACATCCCCCATAGGAGCACCGCAGTGACGTTCGAGAGGTGAGGTAGCTGACGGCGTGCTTGGGGCAGAGCTTGAAGTCCTGGTCCCCACTCAGCCCGGCCCGGTCCTCCTCCAGGTACTCGCCCTCGTTGCTGGCAGGTTCCTGACATGGGCTCTCACTCAAACATCCCCGTCCGAGTGCACTCTCCCACCGAACCAAGTGGGCACAACACTTGACCTCCTCCTCCTTCTCAGACTCGGAGGCATAGTCCTTGAACTTCTTGGCCGCCTTGCCTGCTTTCGAGAAGAACCAACCCATCGCCTTAGCTCCCGTCTTCTGAGCTCCTTCAGCCGTAGACATCAGATGGAACTTCTCCGGATTGAGTTGGCGGGCCAAGGCATAGCTCTTAAAGTGCTGCCCCTCCTCCGGGCATGTGTCATGCCTGCAAAGGTGTACCCTTTCGTAGCCTTTGAGGGCCAAAAGCAACGGGCCATCCCCTCGAACCGACTCCGGGTCAAAGCTCAGGTACATGCCGCTGGACTTGATGGCCGCGTTCTCCGTCACCTTGATGATGACCACCTGCCCATCCCGGCGCAAGAGAACCCATCGATCCTCTGAGCCCTTCTTCAACTTCCTGAGCTCCGATGTCTCGGGGACCTCACCGGTGGCCGGCCCAATGAAGTTAGCACCGGTCATCTCGGGCACCCCTCCTGTGAGCCTCTGGATCAGAAAAGCTCCCCGGCCACAGCATCTCACACATGCTCGAACGATCCAGATCATCGTGAGGATCGTCCCGATGAGCAAGGAGCAAAGCGGCCATGCAAGGGACAGGAAGTAGTGGAGGATCAGGCATATAGCCATAAGTGTTGCTACCCGCAGGATCATAGAACATCCAGTCCGAACACTCGTCCAGCTCTGCCCGAATACCATCCAACCCGCTCCACTCAGCAGCGTGTCTAGGATCGACCAAACCACGCTGTCCCAAGTCGTCAGGGCCGCGTACTGGTTCTGGATGGCGGCATAGGTCGTGTTGACTCGCAGCTGGAGGCAGTGGTAGGGATCATCCCAGCAAACCGTCTGGTTCTGCTGAGGCACGTCCTCCACTCCAGGGCCTTGCCACCAGCTGCGGCCAGATCCCAGCCATCCAAGGCCCACCAGGAGCCACCGCCACCGCACCATGGCAGCGCCCCCAAGAAGCCAAAAAGGCACTTGTGCCCGAGCTGCACCGGTGCGGGTAGCATGCTCAAAGTATCAGTTTGAAAAACTTCCAATATAGATATATGATTTTTGGTACGACCCCTGCTTAGCCCAAGCTAAGCAGGGCGGCGCCTGGCACACCGGTAGAACCTTTGCTTTTTGCTGTGACCATGCCAGCTTCTGGCCGTGGCCGCCTTTGGCCCCTGACCCTGCCGACTCTTTGTTACTGGGTTTCGGCCTCTGGCCGTGGCCTTGTCCTAGGTCCTGGGTTTTTGGGTGGGCTTCGAAGCTGCCGTCTGGCACCCTGCAGCCACACCTTTGCGCGCAGGACAACATGGGCTAAGGCTGTGGTGTCTTTGTCTTGCTTGCTCCACATAGCGTCGGAGGCTTGCCCCATTGTATATCAGTATACAGTATTTAGTGCCAAATGAAACACACCTGAACTTGACGAGCACAAACAAGAATGGCTGTCCACGGAAAGGTAACCTGCTTTCTAATTCCCTTATATGTTCTTATCTGTGCATGCTGCAAAAATCGCTCCATCAATCTTGCGTGCATCCCGACAATGTTGGCTGCTGTAACGGTTGGTGGACTTGGCTGTCGGCATCACCGAAGACAGCATTGGCCGCATCCTTCAGCAAAGGGAGAAAAAGGAACAAAACAGTGACTGCAAGAAGCCTGATTCCCACCTGCTCGGCTTGATTAAGCACAGATTCCTTCACCTTTAAACAAGCGAAGCCAGGAAAACTCAGATTTGGGACTGCCAACAAAGTTCTACATCTTGGTCAAGGGCCCATTTATCAGTGCCCGCCAACTGCATCAAGACCTTGGGCATCAGGTGGCCCAACAAAAGTTTTAGAATTACTTACCAAGTTTGATGCCAATTCGTCTCCAGGTCCATAACCCTCAGGCACCACTGCCTGGAGTCAAAAATGTGTCACCTACTTGTGAGGTGGCTGCCCGCCCAGGCCTTGACATTCTCTGGACGGCCCTTCACAGGGATGGATAGAATGGAACCAGGTGCTGCACCCTCCGGAATTGTAATTGTCCTGAGCAAAGTGTCCAACTGCAAAGGTGGCACAGACAATACAATGGCGCCTAGCTACTATGTCGTAGTCCTCTTGCATTCGCTTCAAGTGTTGTTATTTCATTCCATATTTAGTCTGCGACAGTTGCATTGCAGACTGCGTCATGGCCCTGCATATTTCCCCAGTCACAGCTAACTCCGCAAATTGAAAACAAACAACTTGCACATTCTCTCTGTTCTCGTTTTATCTTTCTCTCTGTTCTCGTTTTATCTTTCATGGGGGAGAAAGCCGCCACTTGGTGGGATGTCAACAAATGCAGTTGGGCAGAGTTGCTGTGCGGCACGCTGTGCCACAAAAGTCAGGTGAATTGCTGCTTCATCCCGTCATATACTGTGTAATTAGTAATTAGTCTAGGTGTTGGGCTGAGAGAAATGTCGCGACTTGGCTGATTGTTGAATGTTGGTGACATATGCCGTGACTGGCGAAGTCATGAGTGATGGTTGACATACCATGCTGAAAGATACTGCAGGTCGCGCTTGTTGGGCCACGGAGCCTATTGAGTGGCACGGTTCATACAAACTGAACCATGACCCCCCCGTGCACCCAGGGCGTTGGTGTCCCATTGAGATAGTGGAGCATTACTGCGCAAATGAAGCCTGGACGCTTCAATCACTGGTGGACCACTCCCGCTGTGTGTAGTGACCCCTCCACCGAGGTCTCGCAAAGAAAGTCTCACGAAGTGTGTCTCCTGAAGGGTAGTTCTCCCGCAGTTTCGCAGCTTCCTGCAGCTTCGCCGCTCCGGTCGTATTTTCCTGACCTTCCCTCTCGCGTAATGTAGCCTTCCATCTCTCGTCTGGAAGCAAAGCTGAGCAGCTACTGTGGTCTTGAAAGCTTTCAATTCGGCAGCCCTTCAAACCTGCATACTTTTGCCATGCGCCCGAAGCTGGGCCAAGGTACCGTCCGTACGTAACGTCGAGTGACAAGTGCCTTCCGGTTGTGGAAAGGCAAGGGTTGTTGATGGCCGCTGGGTCATACATTGCAGCACAAAGAACTCTGAATTTCACCTCCATTTTTTATAGCCGTGGCACATGGGCCTAGCAGCTAGCATCTCACAGCTTGGCTGAAAAGGGCCTGCTAGTTGTGAAACTGCACGTACTTGCTGGGGAAGCAGATCTTCAGTCATGCCGGTGTGCCGACGCATCCAGAAAGATGTATTATCGAGGTCTAACGGTCTGCGTTCATCCATTGCCCGGAAAGTTGAATCCTGCACTTCGCCGTGCCTTTGGGACACCAATGGCCATGCGCCGCGATGTCAAACGTCAAGCTAACAAAATTCACTTGAGAAGTGTTTGGTATACCGAACAAAGAGACCTCTGCAGCACATGTATGTACATGTGGGGGTCCTTCTACATGGCTTGACAAGATGGTACAACTCTGGCAATCAAAGCATGTGCTGTGTAAGCAGTCAATGCTGGGCATTGAGCCACCTATCAAAATCAAACGATACTGCTCCCAACCGGAGTGCAGAACGTAAAATTTGAGATGTTCAGTGTCTTCCAGAGCCTGACTACAGTGTATGAAACCGCATATTTTGGCATTTCAGGGCATGCCAGCCCTGAAGAGACTAGACTGTACACCAGTCGAACCGCTGCTAGCATCGTGCTCCCACAGGCCAACAATTCCACAAGTTTGATCACGCCAGCTATATAGGCCAACAACTCCAAATGAATTTCCAACAGCTTTCAAACTGTGACTGTGGGTGCAGGTGTTGCATCCGATCGCTCACAACAAAACCCGTTTGACTCAAGCATCTTCACACCAGCGATTCTCCTTCCAAGCAGCATTGCTTCTCGTTATTAGTGCTTCATTGCTTCACAATGCTTCACATGCATGAAATCTGGGGCTCCTCTCGCACTTGTGCTTCCTCCTCCGGTGTGAAATCGTTGACAATGTTGAACCTGTCAGTCTATTTTTGGACTTGCAATGGATGTACTAGAGATGTCTGAGAAGCAGACTGCTTGCGAATTTCTTCGGTATTCTTGCCCTTGATCATTGATGCAACCTCTTCAAGTCTCCAATGTGCATAGCGCTTTGCTTCATGAACCCGGTCTCATGTCATGCTCCAGCCTTGGCACAAGTGAGGTCCAAGAGGCTTTTAATGTCAAGATAATTCGCGGCCAAGATGAGCTCAAATAAGACCTTGCCAGCACTCCACAGCATCCATATTGACGTTAGAGCTTTCCCACAACAATACGTCCTTTATCAGTTCATCAATCTACAAGTTCATTGACAAAACCAAAGCCTCCTGTTCAATGTTCACGTACCTGAACGGCAGCTTTCACTTGCACAAGATTGGGCGGTACAAATACTGCACTCTCGCGCACTCGTTGTCCCATTCAGAGACCCCGCACTCTACCAAGTTTGTACCTCTTGACTCTTGACAATAGTACCAGGTTCCAAAAACAAAGCTCACTTTTCAAAGTGTGCCGCTCACTCTTCAAAGGCTTCTGAATTTCTTCTGGCGGATTGTCCTTGTGGTACCTGCGCGGTTCACATGCATGAGGCAGGTAGACTGCGGACCGAACCTGTTCCACACAGCCTGCAATAGTCGATGACCTGCAGGGTGCCAAGACAAATCACATGCCATTGGTCTCCATTCCGTGCCTTGCTTAGGATCGCTGTCTTCACATTGGGCAAGGGTATCTCCTCATCGGTGCCGCTGTCTTCCACCATGTTCCTAGGACAGATTCTCTGAGATTAAGTGACAATGATTACTGGAGAAATGATAATGCTCTCTTTTCCGCCAAAGAAATTAGATTCAGTGCAGAGCTTGATCAGTGTGGACATGCAAGCCACCTCAGGCTCCACCTCTGAGATGCTTCTATAAAAACATGGATGGCGATTCCTTTTCTGCTGCTCATACTCTGTTTGTCTGATCCGTGCCTCGAAAATCTCACCCTGGGAAGACTTCAGCGTCAGCTTGTCGCCCTGACAGCTGACAGCTGACAGCTCAGGGTATTAGTTGGGCTGCTTAGGCTCTGCTCTGACTCTTATGACTCATGACTAGGATCAAAGGCCTCTGCCATGACCGAATCAGCCTCCAACTCTCAATCAGTGAGGAACTTTCTGATGAATCACATGAAACATAAAAAGGACAAATTGCCGTAACTCGCCTTGAGGTGGCGAACGAAGCTATGTCACCCAGGCTTTCGAGCCGAGAGGGGTGACCAGTGTGGCGACTTCTAAATTCTAGATGTTCCGGGCATGCTTTCCACACGCTTTACAAGGCTGGTTTTCCTCCCAACGCATGGGCAAAGTTTCAAGTCTTTGGACAGGGCTGCCACTCCAAAAAGCCCAAAACAGGTTGATGTATTTCAACAAAACATTCACTGTGTAGAATTGGACGGAGTGGCAATTTTGGCTGGCCTACGTAACAAGCAACATATCCTGTCAGTATGCTGCTTCAGCCTACTGCAGAAGTATCACTTGGAGAACAGGCGAACTGGCAAAAGTCTCAGCTTTAAAGCTCAGGATTGCTTGGATCAGATTGCTCGGAGTCCTCACCTGCAGGGTACGCCGGGCCAGAACAGTCCTCCTCCCTCCAGGGCTGATGACATACCTCGAGGCTAAGTTTGCTGCCTGAAGAAGTTGAGTTTCCCGCATCCGTCTCCTGGATGGATTTGGCAAATCCGTCACTTGTGTCTGTCAAACCTTCGGCACACCTTTGAAGCAGCTTGCAAGACTTTGGCACTGTTTTGAGATGGAGGAGGTCCTTGTTGTTTTCTTCTCACTTGACTTGTCAACGGCGATGTCTCAACCCGAACATGAAATCATCATATGAATAAAAATGTGTGTACATATACCTGAGAAAGGAGAGGACGAAAGCCAGCGAGAGACCAAGCCTGTAGCTTTCGTGGAGCTTGTATCACCGTGGAGTAGATCAAGATCGGAGCACAGCATGAAGTGTTGAATGTTTTAGGTTTCCTCGACTTTCCAAGCGCGGTGCTCTCTGGAGCGTCCCTGTTTGGTGGTCTACCTGAGAATCCGTGTAAAAATAAACGTCAGTGAAGACCAGGAGAAGGATGCCCGAAAGGTGGTTTTTGGTTGTTTTGAAATGTGTTTCGGGCATCGTGCATCAATGCGAAGCCCTATAAAGAGCAGGGCATGGAAAAAAAAGAGGAGAGCACTCATTCTAGAATGGCTGTAGTTTTCGTGGAGCTGGTATCACTGCGACGTAGGTGAAGATCGGAGCACAGCATGAAGTGTTGAATGTTTTTAATATTCTTGATTTGCTTGGTGCGGCGCCTTCTGGAGCGTCCCTTGTTGGTGTTCTATTTGAGAATCCGTGCAAAAATAGACGTCAGTGAACACCAGGAGAATGATGCCCGAATTGGTCTTTGTGGTTGTGTTGAATGTGCTTCGGGTATCGTGCATCAATGCGAAGCCCTATAGAGAGCAGGGCTGGGAGGAAAAAATAGCAGAGAACCTATAGTTGAAAGCTTGTAGTTTCGTGGAGCTGGTATCACTGCGACTGAGATCAAGATCGGAGCACAGCAAGGTGTTGAACGCTTGCAGCTTTCTTGCTTCTCCTCTTGCGGCGCTCTTATCCCCAAGCCTCTACCTCGCCCACCTGGACATGCTCACATCGTTCGCTCCCAGAGCGTTCACTTTGGTTCTTCTTGGTATGGTCAGAGCTACACAGTCCCTATGCCCTGCTCAGGACTTGTCTCCAGACCCTTCGTGATGCTAATGATGCACTACTCGGCGTCCATTGCATCACTCGCATCACCAGACCCCATGTTCACTGCTTTTCTGGAGCGCTCTCCCCCACCAAGATCCCCCACACCCCTCAACTCACTTCGTTCGCTCCAAGAGCTCAAGCCTAGCCTATCGGCTGGCTTTCGGAATACATAACAATACAACACAAACTACAAGCGTGTTTCAGAATCTACGTTTCAGAAACTATGCGCGTTTCATAAACTATGTGCATTTCAGAAACCAAGCTTCGGAAACTACACATCTGCCAGAAACCACAGTTACAAGATGATGTTACTTCTTGTAGACACTCGCTGGCCTGGAGTGGGGGTGGTGGGGGTTGGGGCCAACATTATCCTGCAGGAAGTAACATCATCTTACAATCTCACATTATCATGGCGGCGTTCTCTGTGATTGCAACATTATGTAACTTCCTGATACTTCGTGTAACACGTGCGGTGTCCGAAACATGCCAAACAGGTGTCAAAAAATGAAGTTTCTCAAACATAGCTTCAAATATATACATTCCGAGTTTCAGAAACATAGTTTCAGTTCACAATCAGACGCGCGGAGAAAGATCGATTACTTGTGCATAATCTTTAAGGAGCAAGCATTCCAGGTTAAAATTTGGGAGCTCGCAGTCCAAAAAAGGTGCACAAATCATGAGAATATCCTTCTTTTGGAAAACTAAAGTTTGAAGAAACATGCTTGCTTGTGGACGGGTCCCGGAGCGGGCACCCTCACACTACCTATCTAACTACAGTTCTGCGGGCTTGTGGAATGGATGCTCAACTCCGCCAGCTTGAGAAGTGACTGAGTGCACCAAGCCTTGTTCTGTGATCTGTTGGAGTAGAAGTCACGGAAGGACCTAAGCAATTGCGGGCACTGGAGTTTCGGCGAGAAACTGAAGGTACATTGAGTTCCGGTCCGCATATAGTCATCGGAGTCTCCACTACCATTCCCGCTGAAGTTAAAGTTGGAGAAGTTGAAATTCCTTCAACGCAACACCGACCAAACGGACTTGATGCGTTGGAAGAGGCCTCAGCCACTCTGAGTAGTTCGTCCCATTGCGACCTTGACTATAACGATGACGCGACGGCGACGACGGACATTCTCAGGTTTCAAGGCAAGTGTCCTCCAATATCTATCTATATGTGTAATATATATCTATATATATAATATACCTATGTCTAGTGAGAGAGAGACAGAAGAGTGAAAAGAAAAAACAAGGTTGGTTTGGGCCACAGACTAAGATTTTTGTAGTACTGCTCATAGAACCTCAGCAGTGCCGGGCGTTTAGAACCAAAACATTGACCAAAAACAACTGCAGAATCAAGTTTGACAATGATAACGCCTTCGCTTGCAAAAATGAAATATCTGAAACACTCCATTCTTGATGAAACCAACAGATTGCAGGCAATCAAATCAAATCTTGCGCTTTGACAGCCTAATCCAGGCTGGGCTGCTCTCTCATCTTTGGATCTCGCCAATAGTCTCTCCCAGAGTCACTAGAGTCACTGTATGGTATAGGGTCAATCCTTGGCAACACTGTCTTGTTCGAGATTGGCTTCGGCCTGCTGTGAGGGAAAAATATGTTTACAATACGCATATATGTTTCACTATATATATATACAGTATAGATTACAAAGAACAGGCAGTTTGGACATCATCTATGACATGTACCCCAAGCACCAAGACCCGGACTACGGTGCCTTCATCGACCAAGTCAAGACCTACCACAAGTTCTATGGCAACTGGCCGGAACATCTGGCCAAGGACCTGGAAAAGGCATGGCAAGTTCATGCCGCAAAGTTGCAGCGGGCAAAACATGCATGGCAAGTGGCCAAGGGACCTGTTGCTGCCCCACAATGCTATTTGATGGAGAGAGGATGGTCAACAGATCAGCACTATGTCTGGACCAAGCCAGGCTACAATGGTCAGGATGACTTCAAAATGGGCATGCATTCCAAATGGCCGGCGCTGAAACAAGAGCTCAAGCGAGCAGAAGCATGGGATCGGCTACATCAAATCAGCCGACGATCTCTCCTTCAAGAAGTTCAGAGGCCACTGGAGACAAAGCGCAATGCTACGGCTCTGATGACGTGGCATCAGGGAGCCATATTCACCAAATTTTCAGATGGGCAACAACACTCGCACCCCGCACTGTGGTCAAGCTGCAACCGCAGTCCATGTCTTGTGGCTGTGCAAGGAGACCAACAGACACTTCCCGGCCTTGTCAGAAGAAGATGCATTTGAACTTGAGCATGGCATCAACCTGGAATTCTGGGCTCAAGGACTCCTCCAAATCCCTGACCTCTCAGTATCAACAGGAGGAGCTGCTGCGCAAGCATGCGGGTCGTGGACGACCCATGATGAGCTGAAGCTCAAGCGACAAGAAGTGGTCACCATTGGCATCTCCACCACCTCCAAGGATGTCTGTGTGAGGCACTTTGTTGTGGCTATAGTGCACCATGTTCTCTTGGGGGGCCAACTCTATAGACAAGGAGCAGTCATCACAGCACTCCCAGTCAGGCAAACAGACCTGGGAAAGGGCCTGGTTTTATGGAATCAGGATGGTGGCTCACTAAGTTGACCTTCAACAGCCTGTAGTCTTGCATGTTAGCTCCACCAGGGCTTGGGAAGCATGGAACCAGAGCAAACACCGTGACGTGTTTTACGACTGAATGACCTCATCACCCTGGATCAGAGGAGCCGCATCCGGGTTCTGGCCATCACGCTGGCACAGCTCAAGGACATGCTCAAGACTGAATGGTCGCTGAGAAATAGAATGGCGGATGCAAAGAAGGCGGCATTGGAGGTCGCCTGGTCCATGCAACCCACAGAAGAAGAACGATGTTTGAAGGAACAGGACAACAAGTACCAAAGAGTGGCTCCCCTGGCCATCAAGCGAATCCAACATCTGCTGGAAGACAAGACCCATTTCCTCAATCAGGCCAGGGAGCAGGGGAAAGACAACAGGAAGAAGGCGAGGGAGCACAAACAAGCGCTCTACAATGCCCTCACCAAGTCGCAGACCCCGAATGGTCACCGATGGGACTCCAAGGGCTGCAATGTGCAATGTCGAAACTGCACGCAGCGGCTCACAATGCACAACAAGGCTCAGGAGTTGCAAGATGGAGCCCATGAAGAGTGCTCGTTCCCGACAGTGATGCACATAAAAGGTGGAGGTCAGGAAACCATAGAGGGAGACAACAAGGCCGGGCTGCTGAAGAACATGGTAACATGGGGCAACATGCCTTCCGGATCCACACCAACTATGTGGTCTGTGGCAGGTGCAACAGTCGACAGCTCAAGCACTCCTCCAAGGAGCTGCAAGAGCTGGCTTTGACAAAATGCTGGGACGAGGCATGGCAGCCAGAAGCAAGCTGGCCAGGACACCCAAGGCACCAGCTATAGCGCAAAGGCGGCAAGCTCTTCTGCAGCAAATGCAAAGCGCGTGC